AAATACGGCATCTTTGTTCCTTATGAAGCCTTTGATCGACTTGGACACGGTAGTAAGGCAGCAGCAATCCTTTGTGTCTGCAGGGAGCTATCACCATTCCCCAGTTCTTTGAATGAGACACTGGATTATAGACATTCATTGCTCAAGAAGTCAGAGCAGGAAATTATATATGGGTTAAACTCAGGTATCCTGGATTCTGGAGTATTGCCCAATCTTTTCCCTTTTCCATAAGGAAAAGGGTTCATAAAAGGAAAATGACTGTTAAGAGCCTGATGAAATGTGTTTTAAGAGTTCCTTTTCTTTCCACATCACTGGAAAGTGCAGATGTCAACTTCACAGAATATGCTTTGTAAAAATGAAACTCCTGTATCTTCTCTCTGAGGCTTCAAGAAAAATCTAGAGGAGGCTACCAGATTGCTGAAGTTGCGGCTGCTGAGCTGTTCCTTGTAAATTAACCCTTGGAACAGGAGAGATGCTTCACAGCAGCTATTACTGAAAACAGAACAATGGTTTCATGTTGAATATACAAATTTCATATATTCCTTATATTTGGAGGCTGATACAGTGATGGACAGAACCTAAAAGCAGCTTCGCTGGCCAAACTGGAAAGTTCTACTGAATACTTGTTCAGCTGTATGATCAGCTAACTACCTGTGATAAAAACTCCTCAGCCCAACTAGTTGTGCTTTTCTCAACTTGGCATCATAAAGTTCAGTTGGAAATCTTTGTAAATACTGAAAATATACTATAAAAATAACATAACTATTTACTATACAGTGGAAGAAAATCTTACGCTTGTTTTTCCATGACCATGGTAAAACAGCAGGTGTGGAAGAACAGGCCTTCAGACACGGAGGAGATGGTTCCTTTGTGAACTGTCTCTGGCATCTCGTGGCTGTTGATGCTACCATTAGCCTTGCTCATTCAAACATCACCTCCTGGCTACAGAAACGGAGGCACCGCAGTTGGTTGCCCTTTGTCTGATCCTTCAGCTCTGAGTGAGGTCCATGCTTTTCTGAGACAATATATCTACCTGAATTTAAATACTACCTTTTTTCCCTTGGAAACAACAGCAACATTCCATGTGCCACACAAAAATGACTTGCACAGTCGACACTGTGGCCCAATTCATTACTGTATTCTCTTGCCTCTTCCAAGCTATCCTAAAGTATCCTTAACAAACCTGGAACAGAAATGGAGCTTGAATTCTGTCAGAAAGACACTTTGATTCCTCTGCCTATCATGACCATCCCTCGTTGTAGGGATGTGTCCAAAACCAGAAGTCAATTGAAGATTGTATTGCTCTTATTGGAGAGGTTGGCATGAGTGCTGGATTTACACAGGTAAAACTTCTGTCCTGCTTCCAAACAGAAAGTTACAGTTTTTAGCAAGTGTAACCAGGGCTAGTGGAGAAACACAGTTTGGTGTTGGAATCTAGCCAGGTAGCTCAATCAGTCAGATGAGAGTGAAAAGTTCTTAAAAGTAGTGTGGCAAGGAACATACCTCAGCCCATGAAACATACAGGCCTGAGGTCTACTTGCTTGCAACAGGGATGAATCCTAGTAACTCCCAATTTATGCAACGACAAGCACTTGTCTCATCCTGGATGGTGAAGAGCAGCACTATAGGCTGCAGTATGAGCTACTCCAATATTCCAAGGTGATGCCTTTGGACCCCTACCTTGTTACTGCGGGAATGAGAAGAAGTAGCTTAAGCTGTTTTTATGCACCAAAGGGAAGTATTTCCTTCTACTCAGTCACCTGGGACCTTTTTTGCTATGTACTTCTGAGAATATGCCAATTCGAGTGGTCAAAATGTGCAGATTCTAGGATTTCCTTTATTTTCTGTAGGTATTCTTTATAACATACAACACATTAAAAGAACGAGTTTGTAAGAGATGTTATCATTATTTATCTTCTGTTGAGCCTCACTGAACACTAGAGTTATGTTTACTTCCACAGTTTCAATGTCCTTAGCTTGTGTGGAATCCTGGAAGCCCTTCCCACCTTTTAAAGACTTCCAGAGTTGATCTTCCTGGCTTTTGCTTCCACAACCGTGCACATTCATAATACCCATACATGGGAAATTTTATATTTCATTTAATGTTGCTGTAGCTCTGATTGACACATCTGAGTACAAAACAAAGAACTATATTAAAGAAGACTCCTTCCAATTTCTTCTTCTTAGCTTCTCCTCCTTCTAAGAGAAGGATACACTTTACAAACCTCCTCACATCTCATTATCCCCAACAAGATTTTCCAGTAATCATCTCATGCTTTGACAGAACTAACTTTGTAAAGATGAACAGGACACAAGTGAGATGGTGTAACATCTTCCCTGTTGAGAAAGAAATGAATGTAAATGCTCTCAATATGAGAAGAACGTGCTTGGGCATCTTGACACCACAGCTGCTTTACGCAGATTGCCACTAGCTTTGGCCAGGACAAATATCCTCCTTCAAAGGGAGTCACAGTTCTAGCTGCAGGAACTGAATTAGTTTGTCTCCTAATGAATCTTCTTCCAACCTTTTCTCAGCCTTCTTGTGAGTTTCAAAGACTAGAATTTATTGTAGCTTGTCTTTAATCCACACCATAATTATCATTCACATCTTGTTTTGCTTCTACACTGAAACTGCTTGTAAATACTTAATTAAAACATGTTCACTTTCATACTATCAACCTTACTTTGAATCTGAGCACGAATAGTGTGGAGAGTAATAAGAAATCCAGGCCAAGCCTTAAAAGCATTCTGAATCACTGAAGTCACTATTTAGTCTAACTTTCCTTTTTCGAAGCAGGAGTGCCAGTTGGCATCTTCTGTAGTATGTGTTGTCTTCATACCTTTTTATTGCTCAGTTACTAGTAACTAAAATAATCACAGAACTGCTCCACAGCACAATGTAGGGAGAGTGCCCTAACTTTAAAACATGTTCATTCAAGCAACTAATCACGGGGGAAAAAAAAAGTTCTTCAAAGTGGGAAATCTTGAGAATTTTGTTCTACAAGGAAACATAAAGAGGCCAGCACCAAGAAGCACGTATAACATGTGAATGTATGTGCCTAACTTGAATTCCAGTGGAAGGTACAAGGAAGATGTTTTCGTAGCAGGAATCCCTGATGCTCTCTCACAGGATGCAAATTAAAAGGTATATAAAATGCAGATACAGTCCTCCTGTCACCGGGCCATTGCTTTATGATCACGTGTAAGTGATAGAGCTGCATTACCCTCGTTGTACTATTATTATTTACAAAATAAAATTGTGGCGGCCGCCCCAAAAAGCACATTAATTTTTTTTTGGGAAAAAAAAAAAAAAAAAGCAACACTGCAAAAAAAGCAGTCTTAAATTTAAGTCCTTATGCTGCTGTTCCCTTTCCAAAGATACTTTCCCTGAAAAACCACGAGTCATGAAAAACAGCATTCAAGTACTGCTAAGGGTGTAAGAGGAACAGAATGGTGGCCATAACATCACCTTCCCATACCCAGAACTTAAAAACTTGCATGATACATATTCTTGACATTGAGATCTGGAAAGCCCTGTCAAGGAGAGCAGCAGACTGGAATCATTTCCCCCTCCGCTCCCATTCCTGTGAGAGCCTGTTTGGGCGACGCAGCCCAGACTCTCTGTATTTACGCCCAATGGACGTTTGACACCTCAACAACTGTGGAATTTCCATGGCTTCCACTGCATATTCTAGTGCTGCGCTAACTGTACTGGTTTGCCAGCTTTCACTAATGCCTAATTTGTCTCTTTTGTGTCACCTGAAGCCTGTTATTGCTTCTGTTTCCCAGCACCAGACTGTTGTGTTGATTTACTGGTACTATATTCTCTTTTACTTTAGATAAAATCAAGCATCTGTAAAAACTATGACCAAAACCAGAATTGTAGAAAAGAACAGAACTTTGATGGTTCTTTTCTTGCTCTCCGGACTTTCCACTTAAATCAACTTCTTTCTTCAAGTAAATGCTGAAAAACCAAAAATTGAGTTTTATCAGTGATGAGTGAAAAAGAATGACTTCATGTGTTTTATAGGATCTACCATATATTGCAAACCCCATATGATGGCTGCATTTTTTTTTGAACAGCATGATCCTGACTTATCAGTTGTAACTCTCAGTGTTCCTGCAGAGCTGCTCTGCAGCTAGCTCCTCCTTGGCCTCTACCTGTGGAACCTCTTGCCTGTGTATGGTACCTGAGACTGTTCTTCTGCGAACAAGAAAAACTGGTAAACCAGGACGTTTCATTTAGCCTTCTGCACCTAAGTTCCTCTTTAATAAAAACCAACTTGAAAAGATCCACCTAGTCAAGGCAGAACACTTTTTAAGTTCCAGGCCACTCCACTTTCACCAGTTAAACTCCCACTTCTTGATTAACTTCAACTTGGATTAAGAAACAATGCAGCTGAATAAGAAGTCCTGCCCACCTGTTTCTTTGATATTCACGCTACTGTTTGCACACCTTCCTGGTGAACCAGAACAAGGAGGTAATTTCTTGAAATATATGGTCATAACCAAGGAAAACAACTATGCATCCAATTTTATAACGGTCAAATTATAATGAAATAAAAAATTCTCTTTATTAGATCTGTAACTGACTTTAAATGCATCTCTCTCAATGCTGTTCTTACTACTTTGAAAAAGCACACAGAAAAACCATGCAAGTGTATTTTATCATTTAATAGAAAACCTGTATTACTAACAGCACACCAGTTTCTTAAACAGTTATCAAGTGCTGTTCTAAAATTAATTTTGCAATTAAAGAGTATAAACCTAAATCATAATTTAAAAAAGGCATTTATATCAGTTATTTCAAGTTGTACACATCACGGGAAGCAGCACCATAGCTTGATGAGGAACAAATCCCATCCATAATTTAAACAGCTGGGAACAAGTAATTTCATCCCAAAAAGATACAAATATTCATATCAGTACCACACTTACTAATGCACTTCAGAAAAACCTAAATAATCCAAAAAAGTGCACCCCATTTTGTTTCCTCATACTCATTGTTTCATAATGCTATTTTGCAGAGTTCTTTGTAACTTAGCTATGTTGGCATCCAAGGCTGCTAAGCTGTTCTTAAAGTCCTCTTCATCTCGAGAAGTAAATGTTGAGAAAGAGGATGCACTCCATTCAGACTTCCCTGATATATCATCAAATGAAATGGAATTAAAACCAGCTATTTCACTGTCTTTTTTCTGAGAAATCTCTTTCGGAAATAGCATTGGTATGCAAGGGTATGTACCAGTCTGACGTTGGTCTGGTTTATCTGTGAAGTCTTTTGCAGCTCCACCTGGAGTGCTTTTTGGCCTCATTTGGACTTTGTCTCCTTCTGGCTTCGCTTTATCCCCTGTAACTTCAACTGCATTTTCCGTAGTCTTCTTCACACTGTACCCAGCACTTAATTTATCCAGAATAGTTGGATCCTTTGCAATCTCACATCCATTCTGCTGCACGGAGTTTGAGAGCTCACAGTGGTAGTCCAACATCTTACAAGCCCCTCTACTTTGGGGTAGCACACCAGTTCTTTCAGAGATTGGCTGCTGTTTTTTGGAGGCACTGCTAGTCAATGGAATATAAAGAGTCTCATCCAACTTGTTTTGCTCATCTAGTAAAGTCCCAGAATCGCTAACTGTTTCTGCATCGTGCTTCAGTGAGCTTAGTAGTATTCCGGGAGCTAATGTTACTTCTTCTGGGAATGTACTGTTTATTTTACTTCCTTCAGCAGCAAACTTTTCATAGGCTAGATTTCGCATTTCTAATTCTCCACTTTTATTTGAGAATTGAAGTTCTGTATCTGTCAAAATATGATCCATTTCTAATTTTTTAAGGTAAGTAATTACTGAAGTACTCCCAGGACACAGATCAGGTTGCATCTGCTTCTCATGGTCTTCCAAAAGAGACTTCGAGAGACCTTTTTCAGTTTTGGGTCTAATGTTGTCTACTGTGAGGTCAGACAGAAGCTTGGCCATACTGCCCTGCAAGGTTCTGTTAAGATAAGATCAATTAATCAGATTTAAAAATAGTCACTAAAAAAATAGTTTAAAACTTTTCTATAACACCGAAACATTAGATTTATCAGACTGTGACAAAGTTACAATCCTCTTTCTACATGTTGTCATAAAATGCAGTATAAATGTGAACCAACTTCAAGTTTCTTGAATTTCTTTCTTCAGCTCAGCTCAATGTGCCTATAAAGTAACTAAAATAGCACAACCCAATGAAGTTCTTGAGATTATTGCTGATTTATCTGCTTTGAGTACTACAAAAGGAAAGAAATCAATGTCAGGAAACTGTTACAAAGCATATAGAAACAGTTATCAAAATCAGTGAGAATTTTTTTCTGAATTATTCTTCCTATTGCATCTAAATAAAAAAAAGAAATAATTCTTCTCATTTTATGCTTTGTACATCAAAAGAAATGAACGCTTAAATGCTTATGTATATAGCATATACATATACACTTGTAATAAGACATCATTATACTACCATCTGGTGGTCAGTATAGTAGTCGTAGAAGTGTGTAATGTGTCTAAACTTCTAGTAAAGAATCTGAAGTGATGATTAAAAATATTCTGCCATTCCAATCAGTATCAACTATAAACAAGACAGACAATAGTTTAACCTCTCGTGCACATCATGTCCAAACAAATTTTACGTACATACCACTTTGCATGTGCAAAAATCTATTTAAGTTTCCCAGCTTGCCACTATATTCATCATAAAAGACCACGATGAAATAAATTCACAGTAATAATTCTAAAAAAACCTGTGAGTAACACCACCTTCATTCGGTGATCCAAGAACTCCCACCTTTACCCATAATTAATAAGTGGGCATAACCTACTTCAAAAGTGTGTACAATTAAAGGAAGGACTGCTCATTCCCACAGGAAGAGCTTACTGTGGGTCCTAAAGACAGATCTTTCTGCAAGTTCTTCTCAAAACAGACCAATTTCTGAACCAGTGTCAAGAAAGAAAGAAGAAAAAATAATTCAGCTTAAAAGTTTCTAAATTCTACAGCTTCAAGGGAAATATCAGTAGGTTTTCAGGTCCACGCACTTCCCCATGGAGCTCCTTATTGGCAGTCTGCTATTAAAACTTAGCACAAGTTATGGAAGATAGCATTTTACTTTACAACAGAACTCAAATCATGGAGCATGACAACTCTATTTTAACAGAATTATAGCACCACTGTAGCAAAAGTAACTACAAAGAGAAGTTTTAGCCTATGTGACCTACTACCACCAAGATAAGAAGATTACAATAATCCAAAGTATGGGGCAGGGTGAGCAGAAAAAAAGTGATGCCAAGAGGCAAAAAAATAGCTTAGCCAATAGTACCTGGTTAATTCACGCAGTCTGTTAACTTCTGCATCACGCTGACGTAACGTTATGCCCAAAATCTTATTTTCTTTCTCTGAAGCTTCCAGCTTAAACTGAAGGCTCTTCACGTTTCCTAATGCCTCTTCCACTTCTAAAATGCCAAGAATTTACCTAATTATTTCTTTTAAGTTTTAAACCACTAAATGAAAGAATAAACAAATTCAAAACCATGTACCAATCTTGAGCTTGGTGGAATGAATGTCATAATGCTGTTTGTTTTCAAGCAATTTTTCTTCTTTATCTTGAATATCTTTTGCAAGATGTTTATTTTCTTCTTTCTGACTTTCTATTATTTTAAGTAGTTCTTCATTTTTAGCCTGCAGTGACTCAAGGCCTTTCAGTGATTCTTTCAATTGACTCTGGAGCATCATATTTACGGACTGCAAAGAAACTACTACCAAAAGTAAAACATAAAAAGTTCAAGTGTTTTGTGTGGTACAGTTTGAATTTATAAATCAAACTAAGTTTTTGAATAATCTTGGTAATACAAATTTTGCTTACAGACAGAAGGGTTTTTTGAAGCAGCAAGATAAAACTCAAGCTTTCTTCTTAATTATCTAATATGTCATCTTCATTTTAAAATGCACATAAGGAAAAATTATCTGCTCAGCAGCTGAAGAGCCGAGTCTTGCTATATGGAGTCTAAACAGGCACAACAATCCATACAAATGCAGTTGCATGATTGGACCCACAACACTTAGTTCAGTTGCCACTAAAGGCCACAATACGTACTGTTGTTTTTTATTTATACATCTGTATCTTTATATGTCTGTATCTATTTAAATAAAGCTTTAACAAAAATGCCCCTAACAAGCATCATTCTCTATGAGTACTTTACATTCATAGCTGCAGCTCTGTCCAGATGT